AAAAAAAAAAAAAAAAAGATTAATAATGGAAAACAATTATTACTACTTAATTCAAACTGGTCATTAATATGAAAGGTTAAACTTCTTTTCTTTTAATATTTTAAACAGAACTAGTGTCTGGATTTGTACTTTCATTTGTATCTGTCCTTTGTCTCCTTGTCACTAGAAACATTTAAAGTACTTGCTACATTTTTCGTCAAAACTTGGCCAATGCTCTATGATCGTTTAATTTTGAATATACACAATACTAAAAGCACTAAATTTATACAGTTTTCACTATATTTTTATATGTAAAATACTTAAAAATATCACAAAATGATTGCAGTGTAAAACTCTAATACTCTTTGACTGATATAACTATTTCTACACTATACCATTGTGTTAAAACACACTACAGATAATGGGATATTAATTAACTTCTTGGCGATACGATGCTTGTCTGACATGAGATTCAATAGACTTGCTTCACAAATATCGACAAATTAAGGAATATTTAATGATTGTATTATTATTTATATTTAGCTTACATTTTAAGGTTATTTTTGAATGATTTTCTGCCTTTAGGTTAAGTTTTGTCACTTTTATGGTTTTCATTATCTTGTCAAACATTATATCATGGTTTTGGTTTGTTCTGTTACTGATAAATCTGTAAACCTATAAATAACTCTAGTACATGTATAGGACATCATAAGAGGAATTGATCCAAGAATAGAATAATTATACTTTCATATCCCAAATCTGCATTGGTGCATTTATACTTCACTAGACTCAACGGTTTTATTGTGGAACCCTAAGGTTTTGCACAACACAAATTGGAAACCCGTCCTACAGGAATAAATTCTTTTATATCTTAATTCAAGGTTAAGATGTTAATGTTAGGAATGCATGCTTGCATGCATTCCTAACATTAACATTTTACTTCTGTCAGAGCTACTAAATGAATTCATTCTGTCAGATATTCCATCTAACCATATAGTCTTTGTTATTTAGGTCATATGTCAGGACATATGGAGACTGACATGATTTGTTAAATAACATAACTTTTCATACTATTTTGAACTTTTTTATTGTAAGTGTTGTACTAACAAATTGGTAAATGGTATTGAGATATTGCATTTATGAACTCAGCAAACATATGAATTCTATTGTATTTCTGGGTAATACAAGATTATTTATAAATTTATTTTATTTAAGTAAAAGAATTAAATTTTATGCTTGATTTAATTATGTAAAGATCTCTACATTTCATTTATTTATTTAATGTTTCTTGATTTCAATACATGATGCACTGCTGCTTAATTTTTTAATTTATATATAAATCAAAATATTAATAAATCAAAAATAATAAAATAAATGTGTATTTGGATTAATAAACTTAAATTATGAACAAATTCAACATATAAAACATAATTTAACATAGGATCACCAATTTAAACATTCAGTAGTTTCAAATACCAAAATAACATAGTTTAGAATGTCAGTTTAAATCACTGAAATATTACTCAAATGAACTTTTTTTGTAATTCCTCATTCAGTGATTAAATCAAATATGAAAATTTTGAAAAAATCTTTTAATATATCATATGAAAATGTCTTGTATTTTAATTACTAAGAAAATATAATACTTGTATTTATATATATATTTTAAATTCTTTATAGTTTAAGTCAATTTTTGAAAATATACATTTACTTTCAGGCTTTCTTCTAGATTGCATCAGTTTTTCAGTCTGATGTAAATTACTTTACAATTTATTTCATTATTATTTAATTGCTATAAAACAATAAACTTAATTATTTAAAATATTTATAAAATCAACTGTATCTATTCATAATATTATGATAGGAAAAAATGTGTTTGAAATAAAAAAAATATAATTATTCAAATGGCATTATCTTTCATAATTAATATGTATGTTTTTTACCAGGGTTTATATACATTAGAAGATTTAAATTCCAAGGCAAAACTGTCTTTTCAGCAAAAAATTGGATTAAAATATTTTGATGATTTTTTGGATAGAATGCCTCGAGAGGAAGCTAAAGAAATTGCAGAAACAGTAAAAATAGTTTAGTTTCATCTCTTTTACATAGAATTTTTAAACAATGATATTATTTTTTTTTAAATTTTGATAGGTAAAATCAGTTGCATTATCTTTTAATCCTGATTTAATAGTTGAAGCATGTGGTTCATATCGACGTGGCAAGCAAACTTGTGGAGATTTGGATATTTTGATTACACATGCTGATGGTGAATCACATAAAAGCATATTATCTGATCTAATTAATAAATTACATGAACAGGGTAATTATTATTAAATTTTAATAATATATTTTATTTTTTAGGCATTTGATTAAACTTCACATCTTTATTCTTGAAAAAAGAAAAAAAAAAGTATTACTTTATTAGTATTAATGTTAAAATGTTGAGTTTTAGTAGTAAATAAAAATTTATCTTGGTAACAAATTATGTATTAAGTCATCATCAATATTCATTCTAGTTCCTTCATATTAATCAGATGGCTGTGATAAGATAACATTCTCTTGAAGAATCTGTTTGAGCACATTGTAATCCTTTGAGATTTTTCATGAATAGTTCAGGTCAGACTGTTTTTTCTTGTCCTTCACTTATATTAGCTAAATCTGTTCTGAATCTAGTTCATAAGTAAAATTGAGGTTAGCTCTATACTGTAGTCTATATTTTATATTAACAAATTATTCTGTTTCTCTATCCTTTTACACTGTCTGATATATAATATAAAAAATATTTTTTTATTCTTGAATAAACAATTGAAAGATAAAATAATACCACAAAGTCTTTTCTTATATGTATTCATGAATGATTTTTCATATTTAATTAATCTGAGATATGATGTCAAGTCAAGAAATCACCCAGAATTAATTTTTCTCTCAGATGTTGATAGATAAAAAATTATGTTCAACAACCCAAACAACTGGATATAGCACCCAGAAATTTAATCACAAAAAAAAAAGAAAAAATAATACAAAAGGAAAATGTTAATAAACAATACTAGCTGATGCTTTCTTTTGTATTAAATGGTCATCATCATGCTAATGACCTTCAAAAGCTCAGATGCACCTGATAAAGCAAAAATAGTAAGTTCTTAACACTGGTGGTTGCTGTCTACATGTACATGATACACAGGATGACATAGGGAAAGAGTTGTAAAACTAAACATCATAGTATATCCTTCATATCAGTGGAAAGGAGTTGCCATCTTTAAAGTTGATTGCTGTATTTTTTCTAACTGCTTTTAATATTTAAGCTGTTCCTTATGGAAGATGTAATGTAGGAGGCAGACTTTTTTAAGATGCACCTGTGTCTGAGTTGGAAGCATATGTTGCCAGGGCTGTGGTGTAGGTCCTTTATTGACAGATGCTTGGTGCTCCTTGAGATAGATGCTTAATGGTCGGCCTGTAGCTCCCATATATTCCAAGTTGCAGTTAGATCTGTGATCAATAAGGGGGATAGTATACAGCCCTGGGAGGAACCACATGTCAAGTTGATTCTTAGCATTACAGAAAAAGGTGAAAACAAAGAGACTTCTGAAAGCCAGGCAGAAGTTGTTATTTCTGGCAATCTCCTTGTAAAGGGCAGACAGCCTTTTATCATATGTAACTGCTTTGATGATAGTGTGGGACAATTTCAAGATGGCGTTTGAATGAGGATATATAAGACTTTTGATGATATCCTGGAGTAACCATGCTTTCTGGATTATTGAGTGATAGTTCATACTTCATTGTTCCTGTCTAGAGCATTGGGTGAATGGATGTATACTAATCATATAAAGGTGCTAAAGCCAGCTAACTTGAAGAAATAAGAGTTGTGAGATGGGGTTGGGATGACAATTAGGTGGTGTATAGAAATTAGTTGATATGCGTCCATTAGATAGTATAATATGGAGGTCAAGAAGTGCATTTCTCATGCATTGTTCTGTTTCAGACAGAGGCAGAGGCCATAGAGATTGGAGTTGATTTAATGTATGAACTCGTGTACAGGTTTTTTGTTACCACAAGATAAGAATGTTCCAAATGTAACGTGCATAGAAGAGAATAAGCTGGTCAAAGGTGGAAAGAACCACCAAGACCTCCAACTGTTGAATATTGCGTTCACATAACATGCCTGAGAGAGATCTATCCATAGGCTCTGCTAGGTAGCTACTGTTATTTATTAATATTTTCCTATTGAATTTTTCTTTTTTGTTTTATTTTATTTTTTTACTTAATTTTAAGAAATTATGTACTTATGACAAAATTAGGTTTAGAAGTAAATGGAAATCTTGGTTTAGAGCCCATCTCATAAAAATTTTGATAATTAAAATTAATTTTAGAAAATGTTTAATATATGAAATTGATTGAAATAGCATTTGAATATTGATCTGGAATAGCATTTAAATTCACAATTCTTACAAACTGGATTATATTTCTAAGTTAAATCATCTGTTTTACGCCAAGCTTCATTTCCTTATATAAATGTGATCTGTGTTAAAAAGTAGTAAAAATCATTAATCTGATTTTTACTACTTTTGACTTTTAAAAATCTTTAAAAATGATGATTGTGTAAAAAATTTAAATTTTTCATTTTTCAACATAATCCTCATCTAGAGTGGCACATTTCTCTAAATGCTCAATTCATTCCATCTGGTGTAAAGTAACAATTAGAAGTCTGATGGTAAGAGATTTGGGCTGCAAGGAGGATGAAGAAAAACCTATAACTTCAGGTTCTTATTGTGTCTTTACTGTTTCCTTTTTGGGCTGCAATTTGAAAGAATTGTAGACCTGTAAATTTCCATTGTAATTTATCTGCTTGTCTGTCTCTCCTTAATCTTGAGAACAATGTTAGATAGATAAAAGTCAGATTTGAAAAGCTTAGGGCAGAAGGCCCCAATTAACTATATGCAAACTTCGGTCTAGATTGGAAGTTACATGATAGCAATTCAGAAATAGAATTACATAGATGACTGGCATTATTCTGTTATCAGGATGTACAGGGGCAAAACACTAGTAATTTGAGATAAAAAAACATATATTTTAAATTAAATAAATTAAGAATATGATTAAAAATTGCAGCCTGACATTGTGACAATATCACAATAATTTTTGCTTGTTACATTATGGTCTTGCATTGTCTTAGAACAAGATGGCTTTTCTGGCCTTACTCTACAAATACATCTCTTGAATACTCAATAAAGTTTCTTAATACTTAATTAAATTAATTCTCTCTCCCTTTACTAGATTCTCCATGTAAACTCCTTTTCCATTCCAAAAAATTATTATGAAATTCTGAGCAACAGGAACAGTTTTCAAGTTACACTGGGCATAGAATAAGGTTAATAATACTGAATCAGCTGTCTTTTATTTTCTGGGTCAAAATAATGAACTCTTAGCTTATCTTTGCTGATGATTTGTGTGAGAAAATTATATCCTATATCAATGGAAACCTTATACAGTCTGCATATCCCTTACATGAAAATAGGAAATTTCGTATACCTTAAATGGCTAAAAATGGTTTATTTACTTTATTACAGACTAGAAAGTTTATTCAGTTGATTATTAAATCACCATTGCAAATAAAACGTTTTAATAAGTGTTCCATTATCATGATTTTTAATTATTAATTTGCAATTTAAAATACTACAACACTTATTTTAGCAATACAGATGCAAAATTAACTAATAAAAAGGATTAAAATAACTAGGTCTTCATAAATGTGTAATATAATATAATATGTAAAATATCATAAGGTAAAATAGAAAAATCCTCTATAAACTGACTGCTCTGTAATGCTAAATACACTAAAAAAAACCATTCTAAAAAATTCTACTTTTAGAAGCCATAATTTAGAATGAAGAGTTTTAGAGAAACCATCAAGACACAAGGTTATGATTTAACATAAAGAAAAACAGGAGATGACTTTTGCACAATTATGTGGTTCTTCTAAGGGCTGGCAAGAACAAGTCATTGGTCATAATGAAGCAAGAGATATAAGGAAGCATTTTACACTAGTATATTGTGCAAATGAGGTGTGAAATTATACAAGACAACTATCTAGACAAGCTGCAGGCCTTATTGTGTCTTTACTGTTTCCTTTTTGGGTTGCAAATGTAATAAAGTTCAAGTGTTTGAAAGCTTCTCAAACACTTAAAACTGGACAAAGTGGTGGTGGAATCTCCTGATATTCTAAAATTGTATGCTTTTGCAAGAGCCCACAAATGTAGGCAGGAACAGAACAATACTCAATAAGGCAAGATTTCCAACCCAGAATTTAGAGAGATCTATGCACAACCTATTAGTCTTATGTCTTTAAGGATACCCATGCATCATTGCCAGTTCATATAAGTTAACATTGACAAATCTCTAGGGGATAAATTACAATCTTAGATTTCAAATCTTTATACCCCTCAATAAAAATAAAGCCTTGTTTCTGCACCCTGCAGGATTGGTTAACACATAAGGTTCTTAATAGTGCACTCCATTAGTTAATATTGAAATTGGCACATCTTTTGTTACTCATCTTCTTTTCAATTTGACACTTGCATCTACATACAAAAGCAGGGAATATCCTTGGGTAGCCCCTCTAGTTGAGGACCTTTGTGAAATTGTCATGCACTATTTCAAGCTGGAGATATTCCTAAGCTTCCTTCCAAACATCTTGATATATAAAAGGCACATAGATGACATCATCATCTGGTGATCAAACCTGACATCAATGCCTTCCTGTGATGAATGAATGACAAACTATATGGCCTATTGCTAGAAATAGAGCAGATGAATAGCACAGAAGCTCATTTTATGGATCTTAGCATCAGTTTTATTGAGGACTGAATCAAGACAATGATTTATGACTGATTTATCACAAAGCTGATTCCTGCCCACTATAATTATCAGTATGCTCTCATGAACCTTATGTTTACACAGTGGCTTTTTTCTGAGTCCTCACTAAAAGAGCATGCACATACACATTGTTCAATGTGACAGATAAAGAAGCTGAACTGTGACAGATCACACAGATAGCCTGGGCACATGGCTTTGATGAGCACTTAATTTCACAATTATCTGATAAGTATAAGCCCAGAGTAACAATAGTAACAATATACTGTAGATGACAACATTGACAACAGGGAGCACATGAACAATGAGGAGGTTAATTACTTATGAAGATCACTTGCATGCAATATGTAAACAAATAGCAAAACATAAAGGTGCTTACATTGAATATAGACATGACCCAAATATATATCCACTACTAAAAAATAGGAAATATGCCATAAACAAAGAAAGGGTACAGTACATGGGTTTATACGATGCTCTTGAAGGATGATAGATTTGTCAGAGACTTAGTTTACATATATGCCACAAAAAGATCCCTCAAGCAGTGTAAAAGAGCACAGACACCATTCCTGCTCTGTTAATATATGCCTCTGACAATAGCAGTGAGGCTGAACATGACTAGGCAAGTATGATACATTACACCTAGCATAATGACTATATTAGAGATTTAGAGGTCTTGGAGATCTTTAAAGCATTCCAGTTAGGCAACTGTATTAACCATAAAGACGAAAAACAAATTTTGTGCACATGGTAGGTGCACTTTGATCTGACCTTAACACCTCACTGCTGCCCATTCATACCTTTGTATTCCTGATTGGTTTATCCATATTTATAACGTATTCAAATTTATTGATTTAAATTTGAATTTTGAAGAATTTTTTTTACTCTTTTCAAATTTTAACAATATAAATTTAAATTCAGCAGATGTTTCGTTTGAAACATTCCATTATAGAACATGTATCTTTAAACCTGATACAGATTTCAGGAGGAGGACAAAAACATTTGTATTGTATTAAAACATTATATTACTGGAAGGACAGGTTTTTTGTAATGTACAGTGGGTGATCGGTTAATGAATATAATTTATTCCAAGACTTTGTTTGTTATCCAAATTGTTTGTTAACTGATTATTGATTTACCATAGGCTTTTATGGGAATTTGATTAATTTGTTGTGGAGACTCCAAAAATAAAAATATATAATATTTTATTTTTTGGATATTTTATTTTTATATTTTTTTATTTATTACATTTATTTACCGTATATATAATAGTAAAAATACATATATATGCAGTCTTGCATTTTTATTAGTTATGCTTTTTCCGTTTGTGGGGGTTAAAGAATCTGTCCAATGTCAATTGCTTTTCACTCTTTTTCAAGATTCTTCATAACTAATTAATAGCATTGTAATTGTAGATATCCCTAAGCCTTTTAACCTCAACCTGGTTTGGATGCCATTTTAAGGCCGTTGTTCTGACATCATCCCACTTCAAAAAATGTTTAATAGCAGATATCAAAATTAATTCTCTTTTTCAGAAGAAAACATATCTCGCCGAGTTTCTTGGTGTTCTTCATTCAAGAGTTCTTGAGTTCTTCTGTCATCAGATCAGTTTCAGGTTCCATTATGAGCTCTTCAATGTTCTTTATTTCTCAGATGTGATTTTTGTTCTTCCTTAAGCTGCTTGAGTCTTCTTGATAATACAGTGTCTTTCTTAGATAAGATTGAACTGCAGCCTACTGTAGACCTGTTCAAGCCATGCTGCTCAGCAACAACAGACATCAGACATCTGCCCACTCTCCCTGTGATATTATACTCTCATCTTTCGAAAATAAAAACTGACACAAAACTTAACGAGTGCCTGTCCGACAGTCTCACAAATACTATAAAAGAATTGTTTCTGTCAGAAAAATAAAAGGCTGGAATTACAAGGGAGAGTTTCAAAGTAAAGAGGAATACTATCCAATCAGTATATACCGTGTTGAGCGTCAATGTCAACATCTGCACTCCAAAAAGTTTTGAATTGTTGTCCAGAGACAAGGAAGACCAATCAGTATTCATTATTTTACGTCGCTTCTTCTTGTGTTTGTTCTGTGAGGTGTTCGTTAACCGATCACCCACTGTATATAGTGTATCATAAAGTATATAAGAAAAGATAAAATTAGCAGCTTTTAAAGACTTGGTGGAGAAAATTTCAAATGGCCTAAGTGTAAATTGAAAAAGATACTAATTTATAATCAAATTAGACAGCCATTACAGATTTCTTTCTGCTCACTATTTGAAACTTTTACTTGCTGTTTTTTCATGTCATCTTAATTATTGTGATATGCAGATAGTACAGATTTTTCTTTAATTCAAAGATAATATGCAGTTTTCCTTCTTGACTGATATGTAATTGGAGGTTCTCTTTATTTAATATGGAGATTTTTTCAAATTTGACAAATGAACTCAAGTCTGCTTCTTCTCATGTATTATTGAACTGGTATTGTGAAATTGAACATCTGTGAATTTTGGTAGACATGAAATCTTCCAACACTAAACATTCAATCACTGATTACTGCTTTGTACAGAATGAGGAACGTGAATTAGTGTTTAACCAATTACCATTCACTTTACTTTTAATATATTTGTGGCAAAAAACAGAAAAAGCATTAAAAAACTTCTTAAGTACAGGTAGGCCTCCTACAATGCGGTAGATACGTTCCTTGAAAATACCGCGTTATGGGAAATCGCATTATAGGAGACACCAACTTAATACATAAACTGGGATTCGGTTCTAAAAAGAGAAAAACTTGGCGTTTGAATGGCTTTTTTGAATTTTTCAAACCAGCCATTGCTAGCCACGAATTTAACACTGGTTTCATCAGCTGACAACTGTCCTATTTGTTTTAAATAATCAAATATTTTTAAGGCTTTGTGTTTAATTGCATTTTTTTTTAAAGGCAACCGTTTCTTGTTCATATCTTCTACCCATAATATTAGCACTTGTTCCGTTTTTTTTTTTTTGTTTTTTTCATTATAGGTGCTCTCAGACAAGCAACATTTTTCGCAAGAATAGATGATCCGGATGTGACTGAATTCCTAATCTTTTCTTACTATTGCTTAATCGACTGAATAGTTGACTAATTTAAATTAAAATGCCTACCAATATCAGCTATCCACTCTTGATTTTTAATTCGATCCAAAATTTTTATCTTTGTTTGAAAAGATATAAATTTCTTTTTTAACAACAGTCCTTTCTTTTCGTTTGACATTGGTATGGCTAAAATTTCTTCAAGCAGTTTTGTAGACAGTAAAAATCGAAAAAAATAACTTTTCTTCACTATGTTGTTAAAAATACAGTGGTACCTCAGGATACGAAATTAATCCGTTCTGAAACTGAGATCGTATCATGAAAATGTCGTAAGGTGGATCATCCTTTCCCATACGATTACATGCAAAACCAAATAATTCGTTCCAACGCGAAAAACATACTCAAATTAAAGCCAAGTAATACATTTAAAAAAATAACTGTAGTAAGAAAAACAAATGAAAAATGCAAACTAGCATAACGTCGTATGGTGAGTTTTTGTTCGTATCGTGGAGCAAAAATATGTTCGAATTTCATGTCGTATCCTGAAAATTTCGTATGCTGGGGCGTTCATAACCTGAGGTACCACTGTATACACCCAATAGAAGTTTATACTGTATTTTGGACCACTTTTGCGGTCCCCATCTATTGAAAGAGTATAAGTTATCGAAAATTCAGTGATATATTTGAGTGTTTATGGTAACTGATGCACATCACTGTCTAGAAACCGGTCTTCCCCTGAAATGTTCATGGGAATAACACGTCAACGTAGACAAACAGCTGTTTTCGAGGACATTTAGCTCTGTACACAGAACTGCAGTATTACGTGATCCATTGCGATTTTTCTGTTATGTGAAAGATAATTCGTTTCTAAATACCATAAATCGCGTTGTAAGAAAATTTCCGCATTTTTTCAACTGCGTTGGAGCGAAAACGCATTGTTAAAGTACCACGTTGTAGGAGGCCTACCTGTATTTTTATGAGCTTAAAAAGACCTATCTAGAAATTTACTTGCAAAATCTAAATACAAATATAATTTATTTTAACAAATATCGAAATATATTTGCATATAACTTCTTAAATTTATTTAACAGGTTTTCTAACTGATGATTTAGTTAAAAATGGAGAATATGGAACACACACAAAATATTTAGGAGTATGTAAATTGAATGGAGATGACAAAAAGGTAAACATTTTCTTAAAAATTATTTTAAATTAGAATTTTATTTTTATCATATTTCCATATTATTTGTTGCTTCTTTTACTTTCATTTATATTTATTTTATCTTTTTAATTAGATTGCTTTTCCTTAAAAAATATTGAAATACTGATTATTATTATTATTAATATATAAAATATATCTTATATTTAGCATAGAAGAATAGACATCATAACAGTACCATATAATGAATTAGCTTGTGCTATGTTATATTTTACTGGTTCTGCACACTTTAATCGTTCTATGCGTTTATTAGCAAGAAAGAAAGGAATGGCACTTTCTGAACATTCTCTGAGAGCTGGAGTTATTAGAAGAGTAAGAATTTTTATTAAATTGACTTTAGAATCAGTCCTTTTTTTTTTATAATATTTTATTACATTCAACTTTGTATGCATTATTAGTGAGTTATACTTCATGCTTATTTGTATTTCAGTTTACTTAAAGTCATTTTATAATATAATATTTTCATCATTGCTTTCATCACATAAACAACTAAATATAATAATTATTAATGACAAAATTTTTCTAAGGAATTTAAAATTAAAATTAATTTATATAATATTATGATTATGTTACTGTAGTATTCATATGATATAACCTTATTAATTTTTGGGCAGATTTATTATTATTTTGTAAATAGAACATAACATTTAAGCATGATGTTAAACTATATTAAAATGAAAATGGCAAGAAAAATCATTGACTAAAACTAGTTTGATTGAGCCATTATTCAAAAATAAATCATATGTATATAGTTTAGGATTGTCATTCACTGTGTAATGCTATACTAACATTAGCCATATGGTGCCACTTCTATCTTCCTATCATAAGCAGTCATTATTAGAAAGCAGGAGTTTTAACTGTTTACCCAAATCTTTGTATCCCTATTCATTGACAGTTCGACACATTGTGAATAATAGATTTGCACCCTCAATCAGATTGAACTCATTTGACATCCAGTTTTCTCAAATTAAGTGATCATTTTCTGAGATCTTGTGGAGTCAATAGACCTTGCCATATATTAAATTAAGACAGTGAAAGTCCTGAAGTGAAGCCATAGCATTATTGTTGTTTTCATAAAACAGTTTTACAAGAAATACATGTATAGACAAGATGATGGTCATGGTAGTTGATAAGAATGATATTCAACTGTTGTTGCCACTTTTATACCTAGAACTCCGTTGCTGCATGTGTGCAGGTGCAAAGGAAACTGCTTTTTTGTTGTTTGCAGTGCTAAAAATGTAATAGTGAGTTTAATATTAATTTTTTTATGGAAATTTCTTCCTTACATCCAGAAAAGTCATCATACCAGATTTGATTTCATTTGTCTGCTAAATTTTACACAGAATTTAATTTTGATCACTTAGTATAATAAAGTTCCATTTGTAAATTTGTATTAATCTAATATTTGTAGTTCATCTAATAAATAATTATTAAATATTGCAGTACTAATACAAATTATATAAATTTTTATTTTGTAAGTTAATACTTAAGTTTTTATAGTTGGTGATTATCATGTTTGACTTTTAGGGAGGAGAAAAAATTTGTGAAGGTTATGTTCTTCCTACACCAACTGAAGAATCTGTTTTTGAGCATTTGGGATTAACTTACAGAATTCCAGAAGAAAGAGATCATTAAAAAGGACATTGATAATGAATATTGTTTGTCATTATAACAAACGTAGAATTAACTGTTATATAAATACACAAGCTTTTTAAATTTAAACATTATATAAAATGAAATACAAGGTGCATTTTATAAGTAATGTGACCAATTTTTTCGTGACACGATGATATGCCATATCTAGTTTTAACCTGCTGCACTAGGTGGTGTGGGGTGTTAGCTTCAAAAGTCCTTTCTCGTTTGCTTCCAAGCTGCCAGCAGGTGAGGACGTTCGTTCCCGTGAACCCTGTTTTGAGTTAATGTAACATGGTGCAATGGATCATTTTGTGGAGCAACGTTATGCTATCAAATTTTGCATTAAACTTGGGAAGTCCGCCACCAAAACCTTTACACTAATTGAGCAGGCCTTTAGGAGTGATTGCTTGTCCAAATCACAAGTTTTCTAATGGCATAAGTTGTTCAAGGATGGCTGAGAGGTGGTCATTGATGATCCCCACAGTGGACGTCCATCAACCTTCCAAACTGACGAAAATATGATGCATATGCGTGATTGTTTGAACTCTGACTGACAGTTGAGCCTTCAATTGATAGCAGACACTCTAAACATGACGAAAACAATCATTTATTGCATTGTGACAAGATTTGAACATGAAAAAGGTGTGCGCCAAACTGGTCCCAAAAGTGTTGACTGATGAACAAAAGGACATGTGAATGCTTTGGTGCCAAGAGCTCTTGGAAATGTGTGAAAATTATTCTAATTTTTTAAACTCAGTTATCATCGGTGATGAGTCATGAACTTTTGAGTGTGACCCTGAGACAAAAAGGCAGAGTTTGGAGTGGCACACCCCAGCATTGCTCCGCCGCAAGAAGGCACGTGTGAGTAAGTCCAGGATCAAAACCACGCTCATTGTCTTCTTTGACGTCAGAGGTATTATTTACCATGAATTTGTACTTGCCTGGACCACTGTAAATGCAGCTTTCTACTTGGAAGTGCTCAAAAGACTGAAATGGAGGGTCGCGTGTTGCCAAAATGACATCAAGGGCACGTGGAAACTTCATCACAACAGTGCACCAAGCCACAGCTTCTTCATTGTCAACGATTTCTTGGCCAAGACCCACACCGCATTGGTTCCACAGCCACCTTACAGTCCTGACCTGGCTCCCGCCGACTAATTTTGTTTCCTCGCTTAAAAGGGGCCATGAAAGGGAAACATTGGGACACAACCGAAAACATCAAGGCTTATGTTACATCGGCTCTAAAGGATGTTCTGGAGAAGGCCTTCCAGGCCTGGAAATACTGACTTCACAAGTGTATCAATGCAGGAGAGTGCTATTTTGAAGATTTTTGACTAATTGTAAGAACATGTTCAATAAATGATTTTTTATGAATTTGGTCGCATTTACTTATGGAATGCACCTTGTATTATGAAGGAAGATTTGTTATTGAATTTNCACACTTATCTACGGAAATTTTTTCTCATTTTTTATAGCGCTTTTTGGATTCAGGGGTCTCAAGACATGGAGATTTTCAAAAAACTTGGAGGATCAAATTTGACACGATTCCAATACTGTTCCTTGTTATGTAACCGGGAGAGTTAAAAAAGAAAAAATTCCATTGACGTTGTATTTGTGTCTATTTCATTTTATATCTCAGAATGGGGTAATAATTAACGAAATATGACATTGTAGCTTATGTATAAGAAGCATTGATGCTATTATATTTTGACGGTCAAAGGTCCAGAGGCTGAAGGGGGTAAGATAGATGAGTATCGTGTGTCATATCTCGAGTTGGGTCGGACTTAATAAAGATTTTACTTGTTGTTAGCATTTACAATTTTTTTTTTTAAACTCATCTCTTCCTTCAAAATTAAGCTTTTTCCCATTTTATAATAATAATATAAAAGTTGTTTTTTAACAAAATATTTTAACAGATGGCGTCATAGACAATTTCAATTTTGTGCTAGTGTGACCTACGAGTTAGTGTTTTTCGCCGGGAAAGTTAAGCAACTATTTGCTGGAATATTTTAAAAGTCATTTATTGACCAATAACTTCCGATTACATGCAGGACACATTTCGAGCTTTCTTGCGCCTATTCAGTTGCTTTTTAAAAAATACAAATTTATTTACAACGTTTAACAAAAAAATCTATAAAAATTGCAAAACAGATTTACCATTGTTTGATTACATTGCAACATGTGAGGAAAAATCAATCGTTTTGTTTGTATCGCATTCCTCTTTTAATGTTAATAAACGTTAATTTGTTGGTATACGTATGTTTGTACCATCTAAATAATTTAAACTCTTATTTTTTCCTCATTCTATATCAAATTTTATATCATTACTGAAGACATTTACTGTTGTTTCTATTTTTTGTTCTTTGTTAATATTTATGATAGTATCATCTACGCATAAAATTCCATCCTATTACGTATTTTACAATTAATATCTTCCATAAATGTTTCGGATAAGTTTGGATCTATGACAGTTCCCATACTGATGCCGAAAATTTCAGTATAAAAGTTATATAAAATGTATAATAATTTCTTCGATAGGTAAACTCAATTAAATGATTAAAGCATTGTTTCAAATTAATTTATATTCTAAATAATACAAAATAAATGAATAATTAAAATGTTCTATTGCTGCATGTTATTAAGATTAAAACCAGTTTTGAAATCGGTTTTTTAGACATTTGATATTTAGAACACAGTTTTGTTGAACATCGTTTAACGAATTTCAAACATTTCTGGTTTTTGCCAGCACTATTACAAGACAAAATTAAAATGTTAGATCGTTTTCATGGAAAAATAAACAATTATAGTTTCTTGCTTTTTCTCATAATTGCTTCCTACAGGTTGATTCATATGATATTAATGAAGAAGAGAAAGGTAAAGATTAGAAATGCGGAAACATCTTCTCCTCAAGGAGCAAAAAAGTGAAGATTATTAAAAATGCAACTGTCGAAAGAATGGAAAAGACCTCAACCATCTAGACTGTTGTACAGTGATCAAACTTGCAAGCGAATATTCTAAAATTTAAGAGATGAATTGAAGAATGTTTTCAAAAACTAAGCATGACTTCTAAAGTAAAACAGATTACAATTACGAAGTTTTTTATAAAATAAAAACTACCTGCAAGTTATAATAATTATTTTTAACTTTTACTTTGAAATGAAATAAATACGTTGTTGTACTCTATTAAAATATGTTTTTATTATTTAATTTTATATATTTTCAATTTCCTAATTTAATTTTTAATGCATCTTTTCTTATTNCTAAAATTTAAGAGATGAATTGAAGAATGTTTTCAAAAACTAAGCATGACTTCTAAAGTAAAACAGATTACAATTACGAAGTTTTTTATAAAATAAAAAGTACCTGCAAGTTATAATAATTATTTTTAACTTTTACTTTGAAATGAAATAAATACGTTGTTGTACTCTATTAAAATATGTTTTTATTATTTAATTTTATATATTTTCAATTTCCTAATTTAATTTTTAATGCATCTTTTCTTATTCAAAGTTTCCATTGTTGCATTTTGCAGAATGTAAAACCGGTATATTTATAAAGTCAAATATAGAATACGAAGTGTTTACAATGTTATGTACAGTACACTATAGAGATACAAGGACGAGTAACAAGTGAGAGACTTATAGTCTATTCTTCCCTTCTTGTCTTTTCTTCTTCCTTCCATCCTTGGGTCTTTTGTACGTAATTTCTATTTCCAATGAAGATCATATATATTTTTAATTCCCCTATTGTTCCTCCTATGTACGAATTTTTCTTACAGAAAGTAGGCAGATCGATCTAAGAACATTTTATCAGATTGAATTTTTTTAATGGCTACGTCCATTCAAACATACTATTTGCTGTTTTTTTATGCGTGATATTTGGATCTTATGACCATCTATAGCAGAGACTATAACAGAATGGCGAATGATCTTTACGCAATTTGGGTCTAACACTTGCCATTGCATACTGAAACCAGTATTATACAATGATCACGTGTTGCATTTATAATCTTGGCATTCGTATCAAGGTTTTATAATCATTTCAAGAAATTATTTATACAACTTTTTCATAAAAGCGTAAAATGAAAAATGAAAAAAAAAAAGTTTACCACAACAGGAATAAATCATAAAAATAAGTCATTAAAGAACAGTTTCATCAGAAATGTTACAAATCAGAAATTGGCATCATTGTACAGTCGACCCCCTATAACACTGTTGATTATTCCGTGTTATATGAATTCCATGTTGTACGAGTNATTTATTAATATAATTAATTACAAATTATTTATGATGAATTGAAAGTTTAATTTAAAAATTTATTTTAAAATACAGGCTGCTTTCATTTTAATCTACTGGGTAGTTTCTGAAGGAATCAGCATAAATAAAATTAGTGCAAAATAAATCCTTTTTATTTTGGAATAAATAGGGATGTGTTCAGGCATCCACAAATGAATATATTTAAATATTTTTTTCAAACATAACATGTTTGGTAGTGGAAGTTTTGCTGATATAAAATAATAATCATCATTATCATCCATACAACAAACTGCTTATTATCATTTGTCTCCTCCTGTCTTTGTGCATCTAAATGTTCTGTCAAATTTTCTTATTCTATATAAATAATTAATTTAATTTTTAAAAAGTTAATTTTTAAATAAAATGTTAAAGTCATAATTTTTTAGTTGAGTGAATGATGATCAAAAAATTTAGAATATTTGAAATCACGTTTAAAAATTTTAGAATACAGTAATATGAAATAAATTAATAAATGTTGTGCAATTATAAATAACAGTGCTTATAATTTATTGCAGTTATATAAATTATATCACAGGTAGTGTTGTATAAATTACAAATTAGCAATTGTCACAATAGCAAGGTAAACATCATGGTTTAGAAATGACAATTAAGCCTGGGTCAAAGATCCCAAATTTTAGCAAGAAGAAATAGCAAGGAAAGTGAATTGTTTGCAATCTAAAATGTAAAAAATAATTCAAAGATTTAAGGAAACTGGAAGTTTAAATGCTGCAAAACATTAATACTATAGTCCAAAAATTTACTTCAGAAATGACAGAAATCAGCAGTTAAAACATTTTAAAACAAATTAGACTAGCAAGCTTGCAATGGATGTCACAGGAATTGAAATCTATGATTGGAAAATCAATTTCAAAAACAATGGTTTACAATTATTTGAAGGAGATGGGTTACAAAGAGAGTCAAACTACAAAATAAATCTCATCTGACAAAAGTTCAAAAGAAAAAAAATTAGTCATTAAAATTCCCATCTAAGTTACAGTATAAGGTTCACTTGATTACAATGTTCAATAAACAAGATTTAAAAGGAAAATGTACAAAAAGTTGGTCTGAAATTATTTTGAACAATGTCAACCATTTATTGATAGTATGCAAAAAAAACAAAAATCAAAATCTGTAATTCATAATAAAGGAGATTAACTAACTATTAAAATAAAATTTTCTAAATTTTTTGAGTGTCATCTAAGTAAACAGTTTACTCTTTAACACTTTATTTAGAAATTAACTTGTTTAGATGAAAATATAGCTAAAAGACCAGGCTATTATAGCAGATAAATATTCCCTTATTTAATTTTTTCATACTTTTTTATTTACCCAGTTATTGTCATAGAAAGAATTGGCACTTTATGATGGAGTTCAATTATTCTAAACTTTTTGAACTGACTGTACAGAAAGATAAATTGTCATTTTCCTCTGAAATTAATAATAGCTTTAAGTGAATATTATAAAAATAAAAAATAAATAAATGTAATGTTGCAATAAAAAGTTAATTTCAGTAATGTATATTATATTTCTAGATTAAATTGTTATACATTTTTATTTTATTGTTGTGAAGCAAAAATTTTACTTAAATTTTCTGTAATAATTATAATTGTCATTAGGTATTTTGCTATAATGGGAGACAAGATAAATATGTAATTAACTTTGTTTATAAAAAAAAATGGAGAGATGTTATTTAATATATATTTTTATGTAAAATAAATAAATTTTTGTTCATTTGAGTGTTCATTTTTAGATACTGAATTTGAGTTAATATTTTCAACGTCTAAATATTTTCTATTAGACTTTGAGTTTAATATACTATGGAACACATGATGGTCGCGCGTAAGATTTCATTCTGCTTCTGTAAACAAGCAGATTCGAATCCCTAACCTTATAATTTATCATGAATCTACTAGGATCGTCATTTCCATCCTCCATCTACAGTGTCATACATCTGTCCATGCGCAAAAGGATCTTTCCAGCATTTCACTGGTATATGCATGTGATATAAGCTTATTTCAGCGCTAAAGTAACCGATACTTAAATATCTATTAAGGGACAACAGATCAATTCATTTTAAAAATTGCCTCTGGGCAAGTGCTTCACGAATACATGGCATTTTGAGTTGCGACCGATAT